CGCGGATATCTTGGGCCATCCAAGAAAGAATATTGAGGTGGTTTGGGCACGTTCTCTGTCGTCCGCCTCACGAGCTTTGCTACGCTGCCCTCGATCCGGTGCCGCAGCCCACTTGGGGGCGTCGAAGAGGTGAAAAACTCAAGACCTGGCTCGACACCGTTCGTCAGGACATGAAAGCGGTTCTTGGACCTTCGGTTTTCGGTCTTCGTCGCTGGAGGAGAGAATGGGTGGAGCTTTCCAGGTTCGCTGCCACTAATCTTCATGCATGGCGAGGTACCGTTCGTGACATTGAAGCTGGCTAGATCAGGCATGACCACATGTCCTTTGGAATGGCGTGTTTCAAAACTTCATTTTTTATTGTAATGCAATGACTACTGGATTATTTAATGACTTCAATCGATGACTACCAGCTTTTGGTTTAGTAGGAGGCTGACAGTCAAACGCCAAGCAACATATCAAATACAAATAGCACAATTTCGATAGGGCACACATGCTTTCAATTGCGAGGGGATCAGTTGCTGACCTAGTAACAAAGAGTAACTGAATAGAGACATGGAAACTTGGAATACGCTGTTGGTGCCATAGTCTAGAACTATGGACACCTACTGGTTAGATTATAAGACGGTTTTACGACTTGCAACAGCAGGCCACTCTAATATGTTACTACTGGAGCTTATTTTAGTTTTTTACCCTGAAAGAAGAGTTGGTTTCCTCATTAGCAGTGTAAACCTACCTGCGGTAAAGTCTTGTCCTTAATCTCGGTTGGATTGATGCACTCGGTGGCGCCAAAAGCCAGAGCCTGTTTAAATCTGCCGGGATTGGTGTCAATGGCAATGATACGCTTGGCACCGGCCTCCTTGCATCCCATGATCACGGCTAGGCCGACGGCTCCCAGCCCCCAGACTGCACAGTTGCTGCCAGCTTCAACACCTGCAAAATAGACAGACAGCCAAATGTACATCATTTCTCGAAGTAAATTGTTGGGCTTTTCGACTAAAGGCAAAAATAGATACCATTACCAATCAAGTGCATATTTAGTTGAAGTTGGAGATCATTAAAAAAGAAAGGATAGGTTGTAGGTTGTCGGGTGTGTTTGAAGTAACCACTAGTGAAACTCGTTTGCCTCCACAGCCAGTATTCATCACACCTCCAACTGGTGCATTTACGGTCTGCCACTCGAGATGATCGCAATTAAACAAATGGTAGAAAGCCAGAACTGGGTTCGACAGTACGATGTCGGCCAAAAAATAATCGGCAAAAGTAGGTCCACTCATATATCCCTAGTCCCAGCATTTTGTCCTGCAAAAACGGTGGTTATAGTCTTGGGGGATGGGAAACAGGATAGGTAGAGAAGGAAATTTTTAGAAGTGTAAAAACGAAAAAATGTAGTCGAAGTTGCTTCCCGCGGCCGCTGGGAGTATGTTGTTCAGCATGTAAATTGAAAGTGTGCGCGGCTCTCCGCGCCGCGGACTATTGTTCCGCATGTAAATTGAAGGTGTGCGCGGCGCTTCGCGCAGCGGACCATGTGCTTCCCGCGGTCGTTGGGAGTAAGTTGTTCCGCATGTAAATTGAAGGTGTGCGCGGGCTTCGTGCCGCGGACTATACTAATCTAAATCCAGAACGGTAAGTTAGACCTCAGGTAAGTTGAAGTAGACGACCTCCTAACCTTTATTTCAATTTTTCGGGAAATTCAAGAAACCTGAAATTTGATAATCGGGTTTTTCCGCAATAAGTTAAAGGATAGTACAGATTAGGAAAATCTACAGATATAAATCAACAACATAGTAAAATACGGTAAAATAAAAATGCATTTAGCGTTTATTAAAGTATATTCCAT